AGTAATGTTGAATAGTCTCACATTGGTTGTCGAAGGGCAAAGGACTTAAAGATATAAGTGGGGGAGCCCCTCACCTCAATGGCTAGCTTTTGGGGTGGGAAAGGCCATTTACGATCCTACAATTGGTATCTGAGCCTAGCTAGGTTAACATCTCTGGCCTGATGGACCGTGGGTGCCTGCGGGGCCCGTATACCTGATGGACCGTGGGCCGGTGGGGCCTGGATACGGTGAAGGGGCGGTGAAGGGGCTGAGGGACACCAATGTATGAAGGGGGAGATTGTTGAATAGTCCCACATTATAGCTAGCTTTTAGGGTGGGAAAGGCCCTTTACGATCCTACCAGTAATATGCCCGTGCTAAATGCTACGGTACATTTAAGCTTTGAGTGCACTAACTCTATCTTACCTATCCACGGTCAGCTTATGGAAGTAAGGCTGCGTTCGTTTGTGTGATATAGGGTGAGAAAGCACCTCGTTTTCCACGCGCACGCTTCCCAAACTACTAAACGGTGCGTTTTTTGCAAAAATTTTCTTTAGGAAAGTTGCTTTAAAAAATCATATTAATCCATTTTTAAAATTTAAAATAGTTAATACTCAATTAATCATGCGCTAATGGCTCACCTCGTTTTGCGTATCTTCCCAATCTCCTCAATCTCCTTCTCCTCAAACACACCCTAAGTCTTCTGCTATGAAGTACCATATGAGTTAACAATATAATTTTACAAATGTAAATGATGGTTCTGTTTGGTGAATGGTGTCTTGCTTTTTGCCTAAATCCACCTGGAATCAAAGCGGGAATCAAAGCGAGAATCAACACGAGAGGACTGACAACAGAGGAACATAGTATGAACGATAAATAGTTCCCTCTTTACCATCAACTGTATAAAAAAAGGGCTAATAAAGGGCAACGGCACGGGAATACGAATGATGTGGAGTTGTAGAGACACAAGACCCGAGGTAGAAAAGAAGTTTGGATTTTATATTTAATATAAATCGCAATATATATGTGTTTGTTCAACAGGTCCAATTGGGTTGACCCTCTACTATTTCGCATGGCAAAGCCATGCGTACTTCTAGTGAGAATGAAAATTAGGAAGAGTGACATTTGGGAATGTGTATTTTAGGAGGATGATAAACAGTAAATTCTCTCGTACCTGTAACTATATCTGACGACTTGCAATCTTCCACTTTCTAGATGGAGTACCCACCAGCAACTTTTGGAAAACTATTTTAAATCCTCGAGAGGACATTCTCTCGCTGTTTACATGTCGTCTAGATGATTATGAAAGAATTCAATAAGATAGATTAATATGTGATAAATTACTTTGCAAACATGCAAGACCAAATTAAATTTCTACAAGTTGTAAAAAAAATAATTTTGACTGTGAATATACGCTAACTAGACATAGATTATACTCCCTCCTTCCCTAAATGTTTGACGCCGTTGACCTTTTTAAACATGTTTGACCGTTCGTCTTATTCAAAAACTTTTGTGAAATGTGTAAAACTACATGTATGCATAAAAGTATATTTAACAATAAATCAAATGATAGGAAAATAATTAATAATTACTTAAATTTTTTAAATAAGACGAACGGTCAAACATTTTTTAAAAAGTCAACGGCGTCAAACATTTTAGGATGGAGGGAGTATTTTTTATTACAACTTGTAGAGGTTGAATTTTAACTTGTATGTTTGCTAAATGATGTATCACATATTAATCTATCTTATTGATTTTTTTAATTTCTTCATAATTATTTGGATGACATGCAAATAACGAGGAGATGTTCTCTTGAGAGTTTACAAACCCCTCCCGCAACTTCTTGTAGAGAATTATGAGACGCCACACTGACCCAATGTGGAGGGCGATTTATATTTATATATCCAATACAGTAGATATTACAACAAACCCTTAAATAAGAGACATATACGGATACAACAAATATCTAGGCTATACAAATCTAATCTAACTCTAATACCCGCCCGCAGTCAAAGCGGGAGAAGTAGTATCACGGACGCAAAGACTGGACCGAAATTCAGTGACTAACTGAACTGGCAAACCTTTGGTCATGATATCAGCAAACTGATGAGAAGACGGAACGTGTAAAACACGAACCTGTCCTAAAGCAACCTTCTCTCGAACAAAATGAATATCAATCTCAATATGCTTCGTTTGACGATGATGCATCGGATTAGCGGTCATATAGACAGCGCTAACATTGTCACAATAAACAACAGTAGACGAAGCAAGAGATATATGTAGTTCGAGAAGTAGTTGACGAAGCCAACAACACTCAGCAACAACATGTGCTACTGCACGATATTCAGCTTCAGCACTTGAGCGAGAGACTGTAGTTTGTAGCTTGGAAGACCAAGAAACTAGGTTGTCACCAAGAAAAACACAATATCCCGAAGTGGAACAACGAGAATCAGGACAACCAGCCCACTCAGCATCAGAATAAGCAGTCAGTGAGTCAAGATGCGAAATTCCAATGTGAAGACCAATATGTAGTGTGCCCTTGATGTAACGTAAAATCCGTTTGACAAGAGCAAGATGAGGCTCACGAGGATCATGCATAAACAAACACACCTGTTGTACTGCATAAGCGATCTCAGGCCGTGTGAGAGTAAGATACTGAAGAGCACCAGCAAGACTCCTGTACTCCGTAGGATCTGAAATAGGAGCTCCATCTGTCGCAGATAACTTACAGCGAGAATCAACAGGAGTCGTAGTTGGATGACATTCAGACATACCAGCTCGTCGCAATAAATCAACCGCATACTGTCGCTGAGAAAGGAATAAACCATCTGGAGATTGAGTGACAGAAATGCCCGGAAAGAAATGCAAGTCACCAAGATCAGTCATGGCAAACTCCGAATGTAGACGAGCAGTAATGTGCTGAAGAAGTGCAGATGATGAAGCAGTAAGAAGGATGTCATCAACGTATAGCAACAATATGCAATATTTTCTCCATCTTTATAAATAAAGAGAGAAGTGTCTGAAACAGAAGAGACGAAACCCAACTGACGAATATATGTAGCAAAACGCTGGTACCAGGCTCGAGGAGCTTGCTTTAATCCATAGAGCGATTTCTGTAACAAACATACTGCATTGGGCGTAGAAGGATCAACGAAGCCAGATGGTTGCTGACAATACATAGTCTCCTCAAGATTGCCATGTAGAAAAGCGTTCTTAACATCAAGTTGATGAATAGGCCACGACCGAGAAGCTGCAATACTGAGAACAACACGAATAGTAGCTGGCTTAACAACCAGGCTAAACGTCTCATCATAATCAATGCCATGTTGTTGAGAATAACCCCGAACAACCCATCGTGCCTTATGTCGAGCAAGAGTCCCATCGGAATGATATTTATGCTTGAAAATCCATTTGCCTGTAACGATATTAGCACCAGGAGGACGAGGGACCAAACGCCATGTATTGTTATCAACAAGAGCCTTGTACTCGTCGACCATTGCTGCTCGCCAGTTTGGATCAGCCAAAGCACTGCGGTAATTAGAAGGGACCGGCGAAACAGCAGTATGCACAGCTGTATAATTAAACCGCTGAACAGGACGAAGTGTACCACTTTGAGAACGAGTTACCATAGAGTGTCGCTGCTGATCTTGTGCTTGTTGAGCTCGGAAAGCCCTAGTAGTACGGATTGGCCCATGAACAGCAACAGGTGGAGCTCGACGCACATAAGTATGCCGATACGGAGAAACAATCTGCTGAGCAGAAAGAACATCACGCAAAACAGTTGGTTGTGCAGCATGCGATGATGATTGTTCGGTTGGGGAAGATGTGTCAGCACTCCTGCCCGTAGTACCAGCATCGGCACCAGAGGAAACGTGCTCCACCGAGACAACCGGATCCAAAGCACATGATGATGGCATCGGTCTTCTGTGACGGACCAGCTGATATAAATCAGGGTCGGCCAAATCATCAGTGGCCGGCGACTTAAGAATGGGAGCCGGGAGAGGGCATGGATGCTCAACATCCAAAGAGGATGGAGCGACCGCGGTGGGTGATCCCTGTAGAAGAAAATCAAAAGAAGAGGCAGCCGGGGCAGTAGCCGCAAACGGGAAGGTTTGTTCATCAAAAACCACATGACGAGATATGAAGACACGACGAGTAGAGATGTCCAAACACCGATAGCCTTTGTGAGATGTCAAAACATAGGCAGCTGACCGAGGAGAGAGTTTATGAGGAGTCGTGGCACTAAGATTAGGATAGCAAAGACAACTGAAAACCCGAAGATGAGAATAGTCAGGAACTTTGTGATGCAAAATTTGAAAAGGAATGGAGTTGTGGACTGAAGTGGATGGTCGTCAGTTTAGTAAATATGTGGCAGTGGCTAGTGCTTCGGCCCAGTAAGACGGAGGCATTGATGCTTGGATGAGAAGAGTGCGAATAGAATTGTTGATGGTGCGAAGCATGCGTTCGGCTTTACCATTTTGTGGGGAAGTGTATGGACAAGATAGGCGAAGGATGGTACCGAGGATGGCTAAAAAGGAGGTTGTGTTCTGGTTAAAAAATTCGGTGCCATTATCCGCCTGAAAACATTTAATGGGAAGGCCAAACTGGGTTTTAGCAAAGGCAACAAACTCAACAATATGCTGATGGACATCAGATTTGTGGCGAAGAGGAAAAGTCCAACAAAAATGACTAAAATCATCAAGCACAACTAAGTAATACTTAAAGCCAGAAGTACTCAAGACAGGAGAGGTCCACACATCACAGTGAACAAGCTCAAAAGGAGAAGAAGTACTAGACTGAGACCGAGAGAACGGTAAACGAGTGTGTTTCCCTAACTGACAGGCATGACACAACTTATGATCTATCTTGTTACAAGGAAGAATAGCTAATTTGTGAAGAGTCTGAATAGCAGCTGAGCTAGGATGACCAAGTCGACGATGCCACAATGTAGAGGATTCGGCAAGGAAGCTGTGAGCAGCAATGCTAGGGACGGCAGTAGGTGAAGTGTAGAGATCACCGCGACTATTGCAGCGAAGAATCACGCGCCGGGTCCGAAGGTCCTTAACAGAAAAACCAAACTCATCAAACTCAATAGAACATTTATTGTCTCGAGTGAATTGTCAAACTGAAAGTAAATTTCGAACCAAAGAAGGGGCGACAAGAATGTTTTTGAGAGCAAACTTAGTGGTTCCTATAGGTAGAAAAGAAGTGCCACGACATAGAACGGGAATAGTATGACCATTACCAACAGTAATGAAAGTATGAGAATTAGGGAGGCGAGTGACGAGAATACCGTCGGTGGAGGACATATGTGATGTAGCACCAGTGTCAAGCACCCAGGGATTCGGACTGTTTACAGACAGCTGATTAAGGGCAGCAACCAGACCTTGTTGATCCCAAGTGGGCTGCACTGACTGCACAGGAGGCCAGCCTAGAGTTGGTGGAGAAACATATGGGCCGGTGAAAGCAGTGTGAGCCTGAGGATAGGGCCCAAGCAAGCCAGCGCCGGTTCCAGTAGGCCGCCATGGAGCCTGTTGTTGCACGGGCCATGGATTGAAGCAGACCCACGGGCCGCCAGGCCGAGGCCTAGCTTGGTGCGGAGGATAGCCACCTCCAGAATTTCCATAGCCACCGCCGCCTCCAGAGTTCCCATAGCCACCACCACCGTAGTTCTGTCGACCTCCATTGCCGCCACCACCGTTGTTCCGGCCGCTGTTGCGGCGTTGGTTGCGCCGTCCACCATTGTTGGAGCCACCACCGCCACCGCTACCACCGCGAGGTTGCGACGAGGAGGCAGCACATGTGCCGGAGGTGCTGTTGTTGGCAGGAGAGGCAGCCGCTACCATGGCTGTCTCATTCTGAACTTTGGTGTCGTTGGCGATGCGTAGTTCCTTGAGCAACAGAGTGTTGCGCGCCGATGCAAAGGATGGCAGGACAGGGGCGCCGGCGATGTTGTCGGCAGTGCTGGAGAAATGCGGATTGAGGCCGCTGAGGAGGTTGAGGACAAGCTGCGATTCAGTGACAGGATGGCCGACGTCGCGGAGAGCATCGGCGGCAGTCTTCACCTTCTGGCAGTAGTCAGCAATGGACAAATTACCCTGTGTGTGTGAGTGGAATTCATGACTCAGATAGATGGCGCGGGGTTCCTTGTTTGCTTGAAAGAGTTCGTCGATGGCGACCCAGAGATCGCGAGCTGTTTGGTCAGGTTCCATGGCGACATCGAGGATTGCATCGGAAACAGAGCCGAAGAGCCAACCCCGAACGCAGCAATCGGCTTGAGCCCAAGCCGACTCGTCGGGTCGAGGAGGAGCAGTACCATCGATGTGAGGAAGAAGACCAAATTTGCCACACATTGCGGTGAAGAAAGCCTTCCACTTGTTGAAATTGGGGTGCTTGAACTCCAGGGTGATTGGAATATGAGTCTTTACGTTGACGGTGGCATAAGGATTGACAAAGATTGCACTGGCAGACTCCCCACTGCTAGCGGCAGAGGTTGAAAAGGAACCGGAAGACGTAGATGCCATTGTTCCCGAGGTTGTGGAGGAGGAAGAAGACTCGGTAGACATGGCTTAGAGAAGAGGGAGTCACGACGCGACGCGTAGAGCAGGATGCGGCGCGGCAAGGAGCGGGCAGGGGTGCGGCGCGAGCAGAGCGCGGCGCGGCGTGGCGTGGAGAGGGCAAGGCGCGGCGCGAGCAGAGTGGGCAGGGCACGGTGCGGTGGACTGGGCGCGGCGTGGGAGCGGCAAAAACGCGTTGATAGGGCACGGCGCGGCGTGGGGTGGGGACAACGAAAAAACACGACGCTGGGTGGGACGCGTCGAGGGCGACGAAAATCTCGTCGAGGGAAAAACAAATCGCGGCAGGAGCAGAAGTCGCGAGATCACGGGCAACGCGTGGAGAGAAGCCGGCGAATTAGGAAAGGAGAGGGAAACCGGTATCTGATACCATGTAGAGAATTATGAGACGCCACACCAACCCAATGTGGAGGGCGATTTATATTTATATATCCAATACAGTAGATATTACAACAAACTCTTAAATAAGAGACATATACGGATACAACAAATATCTAGGCTATACAAGTCTAATCTAACTCTAATACTTCTTCTTTGCCTTGATCAAAGTAGGAGGATTACTTTCAGGAACAAACTTCCAGTTTCTCTTTCGAATGGGTTTTCTGGTAGAACTGGTGGCAGGACAGGTAGAGGCATTGGCTGTATGATTTCTTCCTCAAACATATTGCAAGGTAGGGTACTATTCCACTTGAGCTAACATTCTTTTTGCAGGAGGAACAGAGGAGTCAAGTTCTTTCCTTTTTCGGCAGAATAGACTCCCTTTGTTTCTTTTTTATGATTTTGGTTAGTGTAAATATGAACTAAACAATGTTATAAATTTTAGGAGGAAGGTAGCATCAGAATGCTTTGGTAAGAAAATGGTTGGGATCATGGGCCCTGAAGCCCCATTCATCGACCAGCTGTTCATATATATTGGCAAAGAAAGCCGAAGCCTGGCTTGTTCTTGAGCAATTCCTCCTGTTCCTGCTGCTTCTGAAGGGCACCATCAACTGCAGAGCTATCCAGTGTTATACGTATGAGTTACATTGTAGTTACATGGTTGTAACAAGACTCTATAAAAATCTACTGTCATTTTATTAATGAAATGGGAGAGGCCCCCCTCTTTTTCTAGAAAAACATTACAGTTACATGTGAGTTACAATATAATTACAGTATAATTGTACATTTCTACTATATTATATTTGATATTTTTAGAAGAAATTTTTTAAACAAATGTATAGGTAGTCCCAGTTATAGATGGAATGACTCGTAAGGTTAAAATTAAAGAAGATCACAATGCGAGTAAATGGACATCTCTCACACGTAAGTACGTAAGACGTTTATCACAGCAGTTCAAACCTAGACATCCAGTGAAAACAGAGTTGTACATGCCATGAGGCGTGCATTAAGATTCTTCATTCTTCTGCAGCTAGTAGATTAGTTGAATCACTGGAAGTAAGGTACGCTGTTGCATGTGGCGTGGAGAATTCGACGGACAGATCACCGTAAGCAGCACGTACGTAATTCCACCAAGGAACGCTCTGCACCAGTCCTCGCCGGAGCTAGCACCGGCAGCTCCCCGTCGACCGCACGCAGAGCTTCCACAGCTTGCGAGACGTGAGGGCCGACGTGTCGCGTCGTGGCACGCTCACCAGAGGCCGATCACCAGCACGCGCTGCATCTGCCGCTCGTCGAACACGCCATTGCGCCTCTCATCCGCCGCGTCCAGCACGTTGCCACGGTCATACATGCCACGGACAAAGCTCAGCAGCGCGGGGGCTCGCCTCGACGACAAAGTTGGCCGTCGGCCACGTACGGGCGATCTCCAGTAGCACCACGCCGAAGCTGTACACGTCCGACTCGACGCAGGGCCTGTGGCTGTTGACGAACTCCGGATCGATGTAATCCCACGGTCGTTCGGCGTTCAGCTCCGTGGTCGACGAGACGAGCTAGCCCGAAGTCACCGAGCTTGGCGTTGCGTGACGCGTCGAGCATTATATTCGCCGGTTTGATGTACCCGTGCACGACGCACCGGTTGCAGTCTTGGAGGTATTGCAATCTAATGCGGAGCCCAGCCCAAGCGCGATGTTGTACCTATGATGTGTGATACATAAGAAAATTCGGCACATTTTATTATTCAGTTTTTCTTTTCCACCTAAATACGTACAATAAAATTGTTTTATTTGTCAACTCCTCACCTCAAAATGTACACAAGTAATTTACACCTGGATATATGCTCAAGAGAAAAATTTTCGACATTTGAGTAGTACCGAGAGGTAGAAAAACTTTCGTGTAATTTGGTAACCTCCTGATACTCGAGATTCTGAGAGGTATCAAAATTTGTAGTAGTATGCTACACTTAGGCCAGAAGTCTTTTCACCACTCCAGAGGAGAGGTTTTTGCATGCCAACTAAAATAATAACAAAAAAATTAGAAAAAAAATAACAAGATAATTTAATATAAAATATATCACTATCTAAAATATGCATGTTCAAATTTGATTTCTATATGTTGTAACAAAAATAAAAAATATATACTAGTTTCAGTTTAATTTGCTATTTGTTACAACACCAATGTGAGAGCCTCCAGCGTAGAGGATGGGCAAGGCGAGCTGCCAATGCCAAGGAAGTGCGAGGCAACACACGTCTTCAAGGATGCACGAGGAGGGCAAATCCGACAGTGGCGACAAGTAGGAATGGCTGATCTGGTGTGGCAACAAGTGGAGCCAGAGGATAGGGTTGAAAGAGATAAGGATGGCCATCGGACGGCGAGACGTGTGACTCTCAATCCTCTCACACATATGTCTCGAGAATAAGGAGACAAAAGAAGAGGAAGCTACAGGGACTAAAGAAAATACTTTTAATAGAGACGACTGGCTTTTTTGCAAAATGTGCAGTGGGAATGAGGAGTTTGATCTAGGCCATACGTCCTAGCTAGATCCAATAAGGAGGAATGGAAGTTGCATTATTACACCGAATGGTGCTATTGCACCTGATATTTCATTCTCTTTCCACTCTCCACAACCCCAACCCCACCCCCCCCCCCAAGCAAGAGCCTAAATCTTCAGCAGGAAACATGCTTGTCCGCCTCCTGGGATCACCTCTTCCAGTGAAGCACCAAACATATCAGCTCCAATTTGCTAAAGGAGAGAGACAGGACAATCAACAGGCACAACCTCAGCATTTTCCATGTAATCAAAATCAAGACAAGATTGCGTCAGCATTTCATTTGGCTATGGAAAAGTTCCAAAATTAAAGTTTTTGGTTGGTTGCTTTTAATGGGCAGATTGAACACTAAATATATGATAGACCATAAGCATTGTGCCCCTCCAAATTGTGACCTGAACTGCGTGCTTTGTTCATCTACCTCAATTGAATCTCTGCTTCACCTCGTTTTCCTATGCCCTTTTGCTCAAAATTGTTGGAATAATGTGGGCATATCTTGGAATACCTCTCTCAGTTTGGAGTTAATGCTGATGGATGCTAAAAGAAGATATCATGGTCTTTGTTTCATGGAAAAGTTTCTGTTAGGGTCTTGGAATATTTGGAAGTAAAGAAATGGTTTTATTTTTGATAATAAGCTTCCTTCTTTGTCTTCCTGGAGGCAGCTCCATAAGGATGATATACTCCTTTTATTGTTTAGATTAAATGAGAGAGACAAATTAGTAGTCATTAGTTGGATTTCCTCTTTGTAATTTTCTTTGTATTCCTGCCTTCTTACTAATAAAGTTTTATTAACAGTGGGGGCCTCTCCTGCTATGTTCCTTGGATTGCTTTGCTTCGTATCGGCTACATTGGTGTTGTTTAAGGCTGCATCGCTTCAATCTCTTGGATTGCTTTGATTCGGTTGATATGTTTGCCTACCTACATATCATATATCTTAGTTAATCTAGTTTGGTAGCTCGATTTACTTGTATCGGTTAGGATCTGCTTTAGGGTTTTTGCCGGTATCGGCTAAATTGTTTTGCCAGATTAGATTAGCTAAGGTATCCACAACTCTTAAAAATCAGTCAAGGGCTTGATTGTCTAGATATTATGTTTCTTTTCAAACTTTGCGCTACATCAGCACTAGTCGTGTTTAGAACCATAATCTCTAGCCTGCATTTTGATTGCCCATAAGGGTTTCATCGTGGTTTCAACCGATGAGTTATCTGGACGTTGTATCGGCTCACAAGGATTAGATACAAGTTGGATTTAGCCGATGGCAACAAAGGTTTCATTGTTTATTTAATCATTTGGATTTAATGACATCGAACCTTCAATCGATGTATGCTTTAACCATTGGATCACTTATTTTAGCCGATTAATTTCTACTGGATTATATTATTGTTATATTACATTATGATCAACCGATTGTCTTTATATTATTATCTACATTGGACATATAGCCGATTGCATAAAACCCTATCGACATCGGCTGGAATCGCTCTATCGGCTTGTCAGCCGATCGACTCTTTGCTGATCAACATATTTATCTATCTTGTCAGTTGTAGAATCAAACTGACTGGCACGCCCACATCTCATCAAGTTTTGGACCTACACTGGAGCTAAGTAGATCTCTTAGGCCATTGTGCTCGTCGACTTGGTTCGCGCTAACACAGATCTAGCACCATCGGCCGAGCGCAGATTTTTCATCAACAGGCATCTAGCGGCGGCCAGCTGTACTAGCTCGGCAGCAGTGGGAGGTCGACGTGAGCGGGAGAGGCACCTGGTGGTGGCCAGTTGCAGTGACGGTGAGTGGGAGGGCAACCATTGTAGGAGCGGCGATGGCCACATGAGAGACCCGACAAAGGTGGGTCTGCGCTCACCGGTGGTGGGGCGCCAGTGCGGTGGAGCTGTGGATAGTAGAAGTTGCTTGGTATGTGGAGCTCTAGGATGGCGACGACAAGTGGGTGAGGGTGTTGAAGTCGAAAGCCTAGGTCAGGGTTCCTCGAGTTGGCAACGAAGACATCTTCGAGCGCCATGATTCCCCCCTCATCAGGTTGGAGCGAGGGACAAGTGGATTTTCTTCTCTCTTGCCCTTTCCCTCTTCCCAACCTCTGTACGTGAGGATGACTGAAAGCTCGTTAACAATCAACTGTGTGGAGTCAGTTTTTGGCGGGGCGTTTTGCGACACCCTTGTAGGCCTGCGATCGACTTGGTGGTAGTGTCTTTTCCTAGGTTGTGTGAGAAGCTGCAAACTTCCAGTGTGGCGTGTTTATTTTGTTTTTCCTGGTTACAATCTTCTAGGGTTGTAATCTTGTAATTTTTTTTCATGCTATATCAATACAAACCATCGCATTGTTTGGTGTGTTTTGTTTAAAAAAAGCAGAAGATGGGGCAAACTAGGTGGCCAGTTGAGCCGACATGGTACCGGAGGGGTTCTCTTCAGTTTCTACAGTGGATCTCGATTTGTACCACAACCGCGTGCATCGAAGGACGAAGGGTGACACTGTCTCGCCGGAGTTGAACAAGCTCCAGACCAACCACCAGTGATCTTTTATCGTGGTACCCAAAACACAAATATTCGATTAGATTTATAACCGAATCTTTAGTTCCGATTGATGTTATACCAACCGGTATTAAAAATACATCTTTAGTCCTGGTTGTTAACACCAACCGAGACTAATGCTGGAGGATCTTTAGTCCCGGTTGTTATTAATACTGGTTGGTAACACCAACCGGGACTAAAGATATTTTTAGTACCGATTGGTGTTACCAAGTGGTATGAAAGATGTCTGCAGGATTAGTTTAAAAATAAAGTATCTCTATCCAAGTTAGATATGTGTACTAGGTGGGATAGTAATACGCGTGAGGGCTGAGGTGAGAGATCTTGAGTTTGAATCCCGCATCCTACAAATTTTTTTTTTACTTTATATGCATCTTTAGTACCGGTTAAATGGCTGGTACTAAAATCGAGATTTTAGTCCTGATTTGCTACAACCAGTTGCTATAACCGGTTCCGAACCGGTGGTAAAAATCAGTTCTTCACTAGTGAGCGGCTCGCCAGTCGCCACTCTGTAGTCTGTACTTGAAGAACAACAGCTTTAATGGCACCGGCCTCCCCCGTACTCGCCGGAGCGAGCATAGCATTGCTCGATGGTCCCTAATTAACGCAGCAGAGAATACAGAGGTAGCTTAGCTAGGTAAAGGCTCAACCGAAGCAAGAACTGATGAGATAAGATTCGGATTCCTCCTACCAAAACTGATCATTCTCTTGCTAGCTGGCCTTCAAGCCTCGATCCACCCCTCTTACTCGGCCGATCCGTTAAAAAAAACAGATAAATTTGTAGCACCCCTACTACTAATTAATGGCTAGCTATTAATTGCAGAGAAAAACACACTCTACTGCTCACCCTTCAATCCTCATATCCCACTCATATTCATATATACTCCACCGACAACCCCTGTTGTTTTATTAATTTCAAGTTGATTGAGTAATTGTTAATTAGCATGATAGATGCTTGTGTTTACTGATAATACATTACTAGAACGCAATTAGGGAGTTTTTTTGGCCACTGTGTCTGACAGACAGCTATAAAAACGCAGACCACAGTACTGCTCCGTTCTGTTCGTTCATGCGCCTCTTTACAGCCAAACAAAGTGCGTGCGTGCGTGCTGTTCTTTCTCCGATCGAGCCTTGGCCCTTGGAGGAGATGTTGTCGAGGATTACCGGCTCCCTCCCCATGGTGCGGTCCTACTGCTTCTGCCTCCTGCTACTCTCAACCATCGTCGCCGTCACCGTCGCCGTTGCCGCGGAGGAGCTCCCCCC